ACTTTACAATTTACCTTTTTTAGCTTGGTTTGAGACTTATCTATGGCTAGACCTTCCCACCCAATGGCCTCACGCAGGTAATATTGGCGGCCAGAGCCCTTATCGCGCTTAATTGGAAATCGAATAAATGCTCAACTGAAGCGAACTTCATGGATAAGATTCTATTAAATTACGTTTAGGAATTAGTTTCTGCACTGTCACCGGACAAAAAGGCAAGGGGGGAGGGGGGGTCTTATCAGTGCCTTATAAGTGCCTATATAGAAGTGTCACCCAGGTGCAGCAGTCACCTCCTCGTCCCCCCCATGCACTACTCCTCAGAACCAGACAGGATCACTCTATATTCCAAACACCTAGGGTCTTAAATATCCGTTTCCCCTCAAACCCCTTCCTATTCTGGTGTTCTACAATGGCGAAAGCTTATCCTTATTGCAAATTCTCCCCTAGGTCTCGCCCTATGGGTTTCTTCTGTTTGAGAGCAGATGGGGATACACTGTACCCGTGCTGCAACACAAAAGTCCAGAAATGCTAGCATTCCTAAGAATGAAACATCTATGGATGTGAATGTAAGGATAGAACTGAAAAACTCACACAGTGGTGAGCAACACTGGTCGAGAATATCAATGCAGCTATACCCCAGCCCTCAACAGTTAAAAAGACTGAGCATAGGGTGGTGCATATAAGGGCAATAAAGCGGGTAAAGGCCCAGGGCATAGGTTAGAATAGCAGTTATGGGTGAGCATCAATTCTCTAAGTCAAAGTATTGACTACTGAACATGATGGATGATATGCAAATGTATCTCTATGTACTGTGTCCCCATTACTGTAACCTTGAACACCCTTCTCCTTTTTCTATACCAAAATCCATTTTTCATTATTGAAAATCAATAAAAGACTAATTTAAAAAGTTTACTCTGGGTCAGTGCTCCCCAACCCAGCCCGCATGGACCACCAACAATTCAGGTTTGTCAGTATCTCCATTGGAATAAAACAGGGAAATACACAAATCATGGACTGTTGGTGGTCCATGAGGACTGGGTTGGAGAACACTGCTCTAGATCATAACTTTCTATGAGGAGAAACATTGCCTTTATTTTAATTAGGGATCGACCGATATTGATTTTTTAGAGCCGATACCGATACCGATATTCTGTGAACTTTCAGGCCGATAGCCGATATAATTTGCCGATATTCTGTACATTTACCATTTTGGAAAATAAAAACTTTCTAAAGGTAAATGCACAAAATATACATGCCACGTGTAGTGGATGCAGTGTGTTTAGACAGGGAAGCTGTATGTATTTGTGTAGTGGATGCAGTGTGTGTTTGTGCAGTGTGTGTTTGTGTAGTGTGTGCAGTGTGTATTTGTCTAGTGTGTAGTGGATGCAGTGTGTATTTGTCTAGTGTGTAGTGGATGCAGTGTGTATTAGTGTTGTGTGTATATAATGAAAGCAGAGTGTTTGTGTAGTGTGTGGGTAGTGTGCGTAAAGTGAATGCAGTATATACTAAATGCAAAGTGTGTGTGTTTGTGTAGTGTATATAATGAATGCAGAGTGTTTATATAATACAGAGTGTGTGTGTTTGTATAGTGTTTATATAATGCAGTGTGTTTGTGAAGTGTGCATTATATAAACACACTATGCAAACACACACTGCATTAATTATATACACACACTACACACACTGCATTATATACGCACACTACACACATTGCATTATATACGCATACTGCATTATATGCGCACACTGCACACACACACTGCATTATATACACACACTACACAAACACTGCATTGTATACAGACTACACACACACTGCATTATATACACAGTGTGTTTGTGTAGTGTGTGTGTATATAATGCAGTGTGTGTGTATAGTGTGTATATATAAACACACTACACAAACACTGCCTTATATACACACACTATACAAACACACATTGCATTATATACACAGTGTGTATGTGTATATAATGGAGTGTGTGTGTGTGTGAGGGGGGGCATTTTTTATTACTTTTTTTTTTAATATATATTTAATTATTTATTGTTGTTGTCCCTCCTCCCTGTTTCATACCTGGCCAGGGATGGGGGATATAGCAGTTCCTGGTGGTCCAGTGGTATTGGCTCACCTCCCAGCAGCTCCTCCAGCTCCCCAGTGTAACTCTCACGGCCAGCGTGCCGCGCGGAGCGTTGCCATGGTAACCCATGGCAACGCTCGGACGGCCGCGGGTCTCGCGAGAGTTACACTGGGGAGCTGGAGGAGCTGCTGGGAGGTGAGTAAGCGCTTGCTCCCGCCCCCCCAGGACCGCCGGGCTTGTAATGAGCCCGGCGGTCCTAGGAGGTATTATCGGCAATATCGGTATCTGAATTGGCCGATACCGATATTGCCGAAAATACCGAATATCGGCCGATTATATCGGTAAAACCGATAATCGGTCGATCCCTAATTTTAATGGAGATCTGAGAGATCTGATGGCTGATACTTAGGATATTGACATATCAAGTTTATAAAAGCATAAGTACACATTTTCCACTTCTGTTTATGTTTACTGTATATAAATCGGACTTTGTACTTATATTTATACGTATAGTGCATACAATGCGACCTTCTGACACTTTGAAATACTGTATCCCTGTAAGAAAATAAACAGCACAGCATTCGCTATATACAGACTAGAATTAACAAAGCCACTACAAGTATTGTGAAAAATGTTCCATATCATTTAATGGAGTCAAAAAGTAGGAATGCTTAATAAGCATGATGTATTTTCTTTTCATACTCAAAACAATACATTCTAAGCATTGTACATTTATGAAGTAGGCTTGCAGCTTCTTGAAAAGGTTTTGAGTGGATCACGAAGTCTTGTAGTTATTAGATTCAACATGAACTGCAGTAACTCATTTTTTTCCTTATTATTCCTTTAAGAGGATTATTAATGTCCTTAGGAAATACTGAGCTTAATCAAGTTTGAAATAAGGTATGATTCTGTTTACTACCAAAAATAATTAGTTTGAATTTTACACTTAATAGCTCACATTGGTTTTTATGTATGAGGGGACAGAGGGAGGTATAAGATGAATGTAGATTTGTAATATGAATACACTCTGGTGGTCTCAATTAAAATAAGAAGATTAGAGAGGTTTGTAAAAATGAACTTACATTATTGTGCCTATCAAGATATTGCTTTAGATTAGAAAATCCAGATCTACAAGATACTTTATTTTATTTTTATTTTTTTCATTATTTGCACAATTGCAAACTCACAGTATATAGCATATAGTTTGAGAACCACAAAAAGTCCCCCAAAGTTCAGTCCTTGGTCCCCTGCTGTTCTCTATCTATACTGCCTCCCTTGGTAAACTCATTAGCTCCTTTGGCTTCCAATGTCATTTATATGTGGATGGAATGCAAATCTACCTGTCCTCTCCTGATCTCTCCCCGTCCCTCTTGATTAGTGTCTCTGACTGCCTCTCTGCTATTTCTAACTGGATGGCTGCCTACTTACTTAAACTCAACTTGACCAAAAATGAAATTCTGGTCTCTCCTCCCTTAAGTGTTGCTACCCCTGTGTTTGTCTCCCTCCAAGTCTACGTGCTACCATCAGCTCCACCATGCAGGCTCATTGCCCTGGGGTACTCTTTGACTCCGACCTCTCCTTCATGCCTCATGTTCAGTCTATTGCCAAATTCTGTCACTTCCATCTCAAAAACACTGCGCGCATTCGACCCTACTTAATGCGAGATGCGACTAAGGTGCTGGTTCATTCCACTATCCTTTCTCGCCTTGACTACTGTAATCCGCTTCTCAGTGGTCTTGTGGTCTCAGTGGTCTATGTGCTCCCAACTTGCGCCGTTGCAGTCCACAATGAATGCGGCGGCGAGGCTCATCTTCCTGTCTGCCCACACATCGCACGCCTCACCCTTCTGTCAGATCCTACATTGGCTTCCTGTAAGATATAGGGCTCAATTTAAAATTCTGGTTCTTGCTTTCAAATCTCTACATAATGCTGCTCCCACTTATCTATCCTTCCTAATACACAAGTATGTCTCCACTCCTTCAAAAAAGCATTAAAAACCCACTTCTCTATAAAAGTGTATCAATTAAACTGTTAATAGCTCCCAACTGATTCCTCTCTTGCAATTGTCATTAGTCTAATAATATCCTTACCTTTTGTGTCACTTTACCTGTTAAGACACCCCGGGTGTCTTTAAGGGAAACCGCCGTTTAGTATACCTTCCCCTTTCGCAAATTCAGTAATCCGTTCGTATCAATGTGTGATACACGAACCATAACCAGGGGAAGCGGTAATCTCCCGACCGGGATCCGTGAACGGCTCCGACCTCCCGAACGGAACTCCACGAACTGCTGCTAGCCGCCGAACAACAATATCCACCATGCGGCTTTCGGTTCCAATCAGCAGTCTCTAAACGCAAATAATAAATCCCCCCAATAACGAGACAGAAGCTCCGCATTGAGGGTCAAACAGGATCTGGCATTACTGTTGTCTACCTGCCCGTATTTATGCAGGTCTCCCACTTGGTGGACACTCCCCTAGGGGACCAAATGGGAGACTGTAACAATAGACAGACATATGGCAGGTTAGGACCCACAGACACAGAATATTCCCAGCATGCATTAGTATTCCCTCCCCTCTGCCCTGGAGATAATTGAGAAAAATTAAATTATCTCCAGGACAAAGACAATCGCCATCTTAAATATAAAACAAGAAAATACATAAAAATACATAACTTTACAATAACCGAACATTTCCCATTCGCATCACATATCCCCAGATAGCCTGGATCTGAGTGCATATTATTGGCGAATAGCGCTCAGATCCCACACACATAGTTCAATCGCCATGGAGTCAAAGTTCTTACAGTCTTTCGATATACGAATGACTCCATGGGAAGGCTATCTGGGTTAAGTCCTTTCGTGTGTTGTAAACCTCCCGAACAGCCGGTGTTCGTACGCTTTCGTGGAGGCAGCCAGGCGTTCCGTTGTTTCAGCGGTGTTCGGCAGATAGAGTGTCCATTTTTAGTTCCATGAAAATAGAGCTGAACACCGCTGGGCTTTCGCGTGGTTTAAAATGGCCGCTGCCTCGTGGTCGACATACGAAAGACGACCACCCTGAATTCGGTTTAATTGAGAAGTGTCTGCGGTTAACCACAACGTTCTAATTGGGATCAATAGGTTAACCAGCAGCACACTTCTCTCCTGGGTGGCCGTCCGTTCGGTAGGTTTGTTCGGGAAAAAACAGTCATTCGTATGGCTGGGCTATAGAAAACAGACATTTACATGAATGGGGCAGAAGCAGACGAATCCACCACAATAAACAGACAGATGGTTCTGTCACATTACCCCACTCCCTCTAGCATGTAAATTCATTGAGCAGGGCCTTCAACCCCTCTGTTCCTGTGTGTCCAACTTGTCTGGTTACAACTACATGTTTGTTCATCAACCCACTGTAAAGTGCTGCGGAATTTGTTGGCGCTATATAAATAATAACATAATAATAATAATAATAATAAACACTCAAGGTTCTTGCTGATTTCTGCACAAGCCACTGTTAGTTCACTTGCAGAATGGGGATCTAATGTAGCTATGTCGATGTTCAGGACCTCAAATTACCTATGAGAAACAGAGGCCCCATGGAATAAGCAGAATAGTTGGATCACAATGTCCATTGCATGAAAATGGGAGGGAAAAGGGGATTTGATGGATAATGGTGTGCAGTGAAAGCAGGCAGAATGAGGTTACATGGGATAGATAGGTGAGGAAGATATAACATAAAAAGTGGTTAGAACAGCAGCTCCCTTTCTTTTTTTTTCTTTTTTTCTTTTGGCAGTACATATAATGGACACAGACTGGCTTGATGTACCCCAAAGGCAATCCTCGAGCTGCTTAGCATAAGTAACAATTAGGGTAATCGCTAGGCAATGCACAATTTTATAGTATATAGTAGCAATAACGTTGGTGAAACATAAGAGTAGTAAAAGCAGAATAATTAACAAGCATATTACATATCCCCTTACTGATAAGAGATAGGTATTATGTATAGATAGTCATGGTAAAGTAAGGGATACAGTAGAGTTTACCACCCCAGACAGCCCCAACACCCTGATTAACACCCTATAGGAATGGCAGCAGAATAGATTGCATTACCCTCTGGACCTGTTGAAGTAAATAAAGTGTGAAGTGCAACGCTATCAAGTAACACAAGTATGGCAAGCAAGAAGTCCAATATGGCGCTGGTTCCCCATACTGGGTAGGCGCTGGGGTCAGAGGTCCATCTTGGTGGTCATCCTATCCCCCTTACAGGGAATTTAGTGTCCCAGAGTGCTTGGCTTCTCAGGCTGTCAGGCAGGGGAGACTCCTGCATATTTTTGTGCAGCAGTCGCATTCTTCTCCCCTCTCCGTCCCTGTGTGTTTCCTTCTGCATGGTGCTGGGGTTAAAAAGCTTCGGGGTTTGCCGGCCGGCTAATTTTACCGCCTTACGCCGCTTAGGCCGTCATCGCTGTCTTCGGTATGTTGGGCTCGTGGTGTGTGCAGCAGGGCGCTTCGGGGAGTAGCAGGATGGTTCAGGAGGTGCCTTGGTGGTCTCTGTGGGTGTCAGCCTGCTCTCCAGCGCCCTCCAAAAGGCGTCAAAGATTTCTTCCAGGTGCCCTTCTGTATCAGGAATCTCCCCTCCAGGAGTCTGCAGATGCGTGTCGTCTGCTATCTTAGGTGGTGCTCCACCTTGCTCGCGGGTGTTTGCGGCTCTGCTGCAGCTCTCCGATGGGGTTTGGGATCCATCAGCATGGGGACTGGGATAACCCCCACTGGTCCAAACGGGGGGGGGTAGCAGGGCTCCAGGTGCATGCTCAGCACTTCAATCTCGCCAGTCTGGGAGAGCGGCCGCTTCTCCCCTCCTCAGCGTTCACTAGGCCTCAGTGGAGCTCGGTAGAGTGCTTGAAAAGGCTGTTGGAAGCATTCGCAGGTCGGGTCTTTGTTACATGTAGTTAGGGGTAATTTGCTTGGTGCCCGGTTTTGGATATTTCAGTCAAAATAGCAAATTTGCTTAGTGTGTTCCTGGGAGCTTACAAGAAACACAACCAGTCGCCATGATTGTCAGGCCCCGCCCCCCAGCTCCCAAACATTTTAGGTTCAAGGCGGCCTTACTAGATCAGTATTTTTCCAAGGCACCCCAAGTCAACATTTCTAGGTTTTATATCTGAATAGCGCTGCCACATTTTCTGGTGTTATAGTGTAATGTACAGTGTTGGTGTTTGAAGGGGTGCTTGTATTGTGTGTTTGTATGTGATGTTTGCATTTGATTGCAGGGGTGTGTCTGAATGTAATGTTCACTTCGAAATGTGGATATAGATACACACCAACATATACACACATGCACCCTGACACACACACACTGATACATGCCCACACCATGACACAGATACACACTGACATGAAAACACACACCCTGACACACAGATGCACATACACAAATACACACTGACACAGACACATAAAGACAGAGAGGCACACTGAAATATTTGTATATATACACACATATGCACAACATGACACACACACTCATACACATACAAATACTCACACTCACACACATACATATACACTCACACACATACAAACACTCACACTCATACACATACATTTTTTCTATCTCCAGCCACCCTCTTTCTAGCTTACCTAATGTGCCAGGAGGGTGGCTTGGAGTCCTGCTTCTGTGGGAGTGAGGGGTCTGGAGCTCTTCATGCTGCTCTCCCCTCACGCTGTGGCTGCCTCCTCTCCCTTCTGCACTATCTTCTTGCAGGATGCTGGGAGGAAGTGACAAGCTGTCACTTCTGCTCAGCCAGCCAACATTACAGGGGCCTGGTCACAGTCTTAAAGGACCGCAGCACTTGACCGGGTCCCTGAGCACTAATGTTACCCCGGTGCTATAAACATGAAACATTCCGCTGCACCCCCTGTGTGCACATCTCTGCCATTTAGGCGTTAAATCACTTTGTTTATACAGCCCTAGTCACACCTTCCTGCATGTAACTTCCTAAACACTTCCTGATTAAACTTACTTTATTGCACATTCTGTTTAATTTAGAAATTCTTATTTACAGAGCAGGAGATAAAATTGTCTGAAGCAAGTTAATATCTGATTTTATTTGAAACTATGTTTTATGCAGGCTGTGTGAGTCATAGCCAGGGGAGGTGTGACAAGACCAGGAAACAAAAACAAAAGTGATTTAACGTCTAAATTGTATATAATTGAGCAGGGACACTGCAGTGGCATGATCTATACATCAAAACTTCTTACGTAAGCTAAAGTTGTTTTGATGCCTATAGTGTCCCTTTAACTTGTGGCAGGACCATTGTCATAGAGAAGAAGTACTACGCAGCATATTTTGCCTTCTAACTGTGGTAATAGACAAATAATACATCTCACATAAACAAAAATACAGGTGTTGTTACAAACAATAAAACAGCCGTGTTAATGGATCATGATAGTTCTCTCTATAGTTCAAAATACTGAACAAACACTATATATGAACCTTTTAATTTTTATTATTTCACACCAACATCCTTGTAAATGTTTTAAAACATGTAAATCTGACACTTAGACTAGCATGGATAGATAGTGCATTCACATTGAGATAGTGGTTATTGTAGACTATGGTGAGGCCTAATAGAAAGCAGTTATTGTTGGGAAATTCTATCATAAGAGGTGTGGAGCTGGACAATAGTGGTATTGGGAGATGTCTTCCCGGAGCTACTGCTCACAGAAACAGGAGACGTATTTGTAATATTGTTAAGCGAGAAATGCAGGAAGGTGAATTGGATGTACTTGTCCATCTAGGGACAAATGACTTGGCTTGCAATGAGGTTTCAGAGGTAAAGGAAGTTTTTTGTGTTTTTGACAATGAAACACGGCAGCTTGCTTCCACACTGTCATTCTCTGAAGTTCTGTCTGTGCATAACACTCAGAACGACAGGCAGATGCGTATTAGGGAATTTAACTTGTGGCTTGGTTAATGGTGTCAGGAGCACGGATTTGGCTTCATTTCTCATGGTAGCTCTGTTTGGAATGGAAAAACTGTAAAAAAAGATGGTTTGCATCTTCTCAAAATAGAACAAATGTTCTCATTGAGCAGTTCAGAGGTTTTGCTATGATGTATTTAATCTATGAGGAGGGAGGGGGCAAAAGGGTGATAAAACATCAATCCAATTGCCCCCCAAAACAAGAACAGAAGGTGCCTATAGCAAGTCTGTTAAAAAAATGATAAGCTTAGAGTCATGTCTACAAATGCTTGCAGTTTAAAGAATAAGATCCATGAACTTGTGGCAATAATGGCAACTGATAATGTAGATTTAGTCGCTGTTATTGGGACATGGTATAATGATAAAAATGACACGACATAGCAATACCAGGGTACTCTTTATATAGAAAAAACAGGGAAGGCAAAAAAGGGGAGAGGTGGCCCTGTATGTAAAGGTTAACATAAAATCTATCCTAATAAAAGTTAGTAAGGTGAACATTGAGTTCCGTTTGGGTTACGTTAGAATTTGGTAATCACACAGCAACTTGTGTAGGTGTGATTCATAGGCCCCCAGGACAAATAGAAAAGTTAGATAATCTACTAGTTGAGGAAACTGCTAAAATGACAATGAAGGGGGAAGTTATCATTATGGGTGACTTTAATCTTCCTGGTGTGAACTGAAAATGCCCAAAATAGCTGATTGTGTCAGGAGCACACATATTCTCAACTCCCTACTGGGATTGTCTCTAAAACAAGTCATTGAGGAGCCAACTCGTATAGAGGCCTTACTAGATTTAGTGTTAACAAATGGAGGTTTGGTATCAGATATTACAGAAAGTTTCAGAGAAAGATTAGGCAGAAAGAGGCTAAGCAATATATAAAAGCTTCCAAATCACACACAAAAGAAAAAAAATAGAACAGTCAGTAAAAAAAGGGTACAAAACATTTTTAAGATACATAAATGAGAAAAGGAAAGTAAAACAAGGATTAGTTAGACTAAAAACAAAAGACGGAAAGGATGTAGAAGAGGATAAAGGTCTAGCTGACTGCCTCAATGAATACTTTTGTTCAGTATTTATAGATGCAAAAGAAGGAAAGGGGCCTTAGTTAGGAAAAAGGACAAATGACTCATTTGTAACCTGTGAGTTTACAGAGGAAGAGGTTCTATTTCAACT